CCTCGGTACGGATTTACGTCCCTGAAGTGTGTGAGTGTTGAAGCGACTCAATACTACTTTAGGACCCCCAGCGTGCAAACGTTACCGTGCATCTACATGCCTATAACACTAACATACACTAACACGTACGTACGTAGCATACGTAACATACGTAAGTATCATACATCATCATCATCATATCCTTATCCCTAATCACAACCATAACTCCAAGCTCTAACTGAATACCTAAACACTGACTTTAAAACGATCATTTATTAAATAAACCGAAAAATAAATTTAGACAAATTTATACTCACCTGTCAGTGTACACATATATTACTGATTTCTTCAGCATAAAAATTTATTACGGGTTCCTGCTGTTATAGGCTATAAAACAGTAAATGCCCAGCAAACGTGCGCCTGCTATCTTCAGCTTCGCGATAATGGAATGTTCAAACGGTCCCACAAAACGAGTGCACGTAGTTACGTGATGCAAAATATTTATAGAATTGTATACCTATCATGAAATGTATACAAAGGTAATTAACCTAGTGTAGAAACAGGTAGAGTAGTCACAATAATCACAACATTTAAGTTTAAATTGATCTACCCATGACCCCGTTCATAATAACACGCACCAAGGTCAAACGACGAACGCAATAATGCAAGTCATGCAGCCGCAGATCTTCCCGCTCGCGATGGATTGTATTACGATTCTACCGCACGCACGTATACGTACATACAGGAACGACGTGGGTGCAGACGATAGTCATGTACGTCATGAACGACGCCAATCTCGACAAGTTCGGCGACAAGACGATCGAAGACATATTTCCGATGCTGGAACTGATGGATGTCACCGGAGGAGCTGACCAACCGATCCCCGACATCAGCGCCATGCCCTCGCCGCGGCTGATGAAGACTCACGTCCCGTTCAAGTATCTGTGCGAAGACATTCGGGAGAGACGCAAAAAACCAAAGGTACGCACGCGCGCGCGGCGAGCGTCTGCAGCGCGGGAAAATATCTGACGTGCGCGCGGGAAAATATCTGGATGAGAGTTAGAATACCGGATTGATATGTGGCGGGAGGTATAGAAAAGAAAGAAATCCATTCGTCGTGTCTGTAATCGATTATCTCTACCGGCTCTATTCCACTATGGGACTCCGGTACATAAATATCCATTATTAACCCTAACCCTAACCCTAACCCTAACCCTAATCATACCCCTATTCATAACCTTAACCCTAACCATAACCCTAACCCTAACCATAATCCTAACCCTAACCATAATTCTAATCCTAACGCTAATCCTAACTCTAACTTTAATCCTAACCCTAACCCTAACCATAACCATAACCCTAACTCTAGCCCTAACCATAATTCTAACGCTACTCCTAACTCTAACCCTAATCCCAACCCTAACCAATAACCTTAAGTTCACCAACAAAATCCGGGTCCCTGATGTGTAACTGAACCATTCTATCCATGTCTAGTTGGAGCGCAGGGCTACATGGATAGAGCCTGTGACATTACCATGGGTGTAATAGGTCAGTAACAGCACACGTTACTTGCACATTCTAGATCGTCTACGTTACTAGGAATCCGAAAGATGCGATCGTATCGTTCTATCACTTCGACCCATTGGGCTTTTCGATACCTGGCGTCACCGATCCCGAATATTGCAAATGGACCTTCTCGCAATATCTCAACTGTTTCTTCCATGACGCCAGTACGTTATTCTGAACCTTCGTGCAGGAATAAATATCACAGTAGAAATATTAACCGTTTACGATTTCACGGAAAAATGGTATTGCAGATATAATAGGTACTTCCGTATGAATGATGATTGATAATATTGTGAAGTACATTTGTCCAGTTCAATTTGGCTCCTACTGGGACCACAACCTGGAATTCTGGGAGCGAAAAGACTGGGATAATATTCTCTTCTTGAAATACGAAGATATGCTTAAAGTAAGTTTAGCACCGTAAATTACTCTCATTTACGTATTATCAATAGCTAATAATATCATAAGCATATTAATAAGTATTATTAGCTCATGGTATTATGTTATTTATTGAATAAATAACAATGCGGTTTCAACCGCTGGCCTCCAAACATACGAACGTATTGATTGTGTTCTCACAACCATCGCGTACACGTATCTGCCACTGTGTGTGCCCCATTTTACAGATAAGTAACGTTTCTGAGGGATTGTCTG